TCAAAATGGTGATTATGCAAAGCCCAATGGCCCGGAATAGGACTGAGGCTTGTGGTGGCTGCACAACTTCTGTCAGAAGTGGACAGAAGTAGCTTTGGCAGGAGGAACTGTTGCGAGTTCAAGACCAGCCTGGGCTACAAAGTGAGTGCAAGGCTGGCCTGAACTGCATAGCGAGACCCGGTCTCAAAAAAACAAAAAGGAGTATTTTAAATATGTTTCTACTATTGGTGTCAAATTTTATTTTAATAGGCAAGAGAGCCTGCTTTGCAGTTTTCATTACTTAGAACACATTAAGTTTTTTCTTCTTTTTTGACTGGTGTTGTTATATTTATACTACAGAATGATTTTATTCATGGGAGGGAGTTGCTCCATGTCTATAACATATTTCATTTATTTTCTCCCTAGACATTTGTTCTCTATTATTGCTCTAAACATGGTCTGTTTGTATGAATATTTCTTGTAATTGTGAAAAGACATTGTACTATGTAGTTATTAGAAAAAGAATAATGCAATATATAATCAATCCCAAGGAAGCATGATGTTAATTTTAACCATTCCATTATAGATTTTTCCTCCTTTAGCTATCAATTACTGATGGAGTTGTTTTGACATCTTCGGAGTTATGAATCAGTCTTTCTTTTCATATTCATGTTTGCCCTCATATACTTTGATGCTCTATTGAGTAGAGTATTGTCATAGTCAGGGTTTGGAAGGGAATAGATTTAATACAGAACACATAATTTATAAAATTATTTTATAATATTCACCCGAAAGTGTCAAATGCAGAGAAGTGCAAGAGAGTTTTCCACATGCTAGAGACCCAAAGAATCTTGCTAAGGGCCTGGATCCTATGACAATGTCCTGCACAAGTCCCACTGAAGACTTAAAGCTCATGGCAGTATTCTCCATAAGTCCAGCAGGAGGCCTAGAGCCTATGACAGTGTCTCATGCAAGCCTGTATCAAGGATCTGCACTGGGAAGCACACAGGTCAGTGGTGGAAGGTCGAAAGTCTGCACACCTGGGTGAAGGGTCTGTGCCACCAGCATGAGGGATTAGTACTGGAAAACCAGCAGCATAAGCTTTTCCAGTAACAGCATGCCGTCTTCCTCTTCACTACTCCTTTTATGCAATGGCCAGCATTCCTCAGGTGGGCCTTCCACACCCAGAAACACCATGATTCAGTTCACCTGGGTGTTCCAAGCTGCCCATTAGTTAATCCACCACAAACATGTATCAAGGACTGTTGTATTTGGAGAACTGCTTTTTATTTATTTAACTTTTTTTGAGAACTGCTTTTTATATCATTATCTGATCACTGGAATTATTTTGAGGAACTTTGAATAATGTCAAATTAGTACATCTTCCTCACATTTCATTGAATCATTGATAGACCAGTGTGTCTTTTTGCGTAGGTTTCTATGTAATCTTCCCTCATGAGTGTCAATGTAACAGCCACTCCAGCCCAGGTGGGCACAGCATTGGGACAGTAACACAGATGTGTAGACATTGATCAATTCTGGTATCTGTATTCTCTTTCTCTGACAGTCTAACCCATCCTGCTGATGGGCAGTATAGAGTTTGACCACTGCTTTCTGGGTGCCTGCGGGTCTTGTTTGCAACTCTGCAGCTTTGGTTATTGCTGCCTAGTATGTGAATGTTGTCTCATCGTTTCATATGTGAATGCACACAGATGTAGATTAAGGTGTACTTTCTTAATGATAATTTAGTGCTGAAATATTTTGCAATAAATTTTATTCTCAAAATTGCTGGTTAGACTTAACACTAATAATGTAAGTAACTTGGGAATATTCAAAAAGTTTCTTTACTGTGGACAGTGTTGGAGAGCTTTCCCAGTGCAGATCCTTGATACAGACTTGCATGAGACATTGTCATAGGCTCTCGGCCTATGGAAGAGCTTCTTATTTATCTTCCTCTCACATGACCCTAGAATTTCTTACATCAGAGTAGAAAATGATCACTTAGTGACGCTGAGCTATAAGATACTTTGCCAGCCTTTGCCCATGGAGAGCTTCACTTGGGCAGTGTTGGAGAGCTCAGTGATTGATACCCTACCAAACTCAACCCTTTCTTGCCCCATGGATGACAACTCATCCACTAAGTTTACCATGTGTGAGTTTCTATGAGAAATATTCTTTTGGTTTCCTCCCTTGGAATTTTCAATGAGTGATTGTTACAGATTTGCAAAGAGAACTGTTTTTAGAAGTTATTTGTCTCTCACAAGTACTGATATGTGAATGAAGAGCTAAGTGCTTTCTATCCATACCACTGGTCATGTGATGCAGGATTATTCAAGTTTACTTGAAAAGACTCATCTCTCTCCAGGAATAATAGCACAGTATATTCTGTGATCATTGGAAAGATCTGGTCTGTAGGTTTTGGTAAACTGTGAAGTAAAGGAAATGAATGTAGAGTGTAGAAATAGATTCTCCATTCTCCCTTAAGTTTACATCCTTATTGTGTTCTTCCACTCTTCCATTTTCTTTAGTGACTTTCTAAAAAGCGTTTAGTTCTTGCTATGTATTCATTGTTTTCCCTTGAGTTAGAAATGTTGTAATCATTTTTTAAGATTTGTGTGCATTGACCTTTACTCGCTATACAAACTCTTTATAATGTACACGCACGAAATATATTCTTGCCTTGTTTATATCTCATATTTTTCGTTTATTTAAATTTATCATTTTAACTCTGATGAATACCTGATTTCCTTCTGAAGAAAAACTTTTATTCAGTCAGGGTTTCTGTTTGTATTTCAAACCACTGTGTAACTGAGGCTGGCCTCAACCTCAAGGCTCTTCTCCTGCACCAGCCTCCCAAGTGCTGGGTGCAGGCATGTACCACCACATCTAATGGAAATTTTCTTTTTGGGCCTAATTACTATGTAATATATTGATTTTCAATGCATATACATTTTATTTATCTTCCTCTCACGTGATCCTAGAATTTCTTATATCTGAGTGGAAAGTGATCACTTAGTGACACTGAGCTATAAGATAATTTGTAACCTTTGCCTTTCATTTCAAAAACAGAAAACTGTTTTTCTATGAAGATTTCAGTTATTATCTATACACCTTAATTAATGATTAATTGTGTTTTTCTCTGTGCAACGCATTTCAGGTTTCAAAATGCTGCTTAAGTACAATCAAAGAAAGAAGGTCTCAATACCAAACATAATAAGATTTGAAAAGAGATATTACCCATGGCCTATCAAAAGTGATTCATTAGATATTCCTCTGCCCCTGAGCTTTGCCTGTGGTGGTCTTCTAGGCTCCCACTCTGAGCTCTGCTTTAAAGACAGTGCACAGATAACCTTGATGAGACCGGGCAAAAGAACCTGTGCTTCTAATCTGCTGTTGCATTAGCGATGAGTTGCATCAGAATTGCTGTCTGAAAACATGTGCATATACATAGAATTGATGACAAAGACATGGTATTAAGATTTGAATAATTCAGCCTCCATTCAGCTGGTTTTTTGTTTGTTTGTTTGTTTTTTGAGATAAGCTCTCACAATGTAGTTAAGGCTGACCTTGAACTCGTTGTGGAGGCCATTCTGGTCTTGAACTCATGGCAGTCCTCCTGCCTCAGCCTCCTCTCTTCTGGGATTACAGATATAAACCACCACACTTTGCTCTCAATTCAACTTTTTATGAGAGGAATTAAGACATCACAGGTGTGAGTCTCAACCTTCCTTTGAGAAATATATGTATGATCATTTAGGAGGCAGTGACCTTTGAGGATGTGGCTGTGAACTTCACCAATGATGAGTGGGCTTTGCTGGATCCATCCCAAAAGAAGCTCTACCGAGATGTGATGGGGGAAACCTTTAGGAACCTGGCTGCTATAGGTAAGGATGACAGCTCTTTCTCACTTGTACTATCAGAGAATATTGTTTGTAGCTTATCGGTGCTGTGTCATTAAAAAGAATGTGAAAATGTTTTGAAGAATAGATCAGGCCTGGTTACATTATACCATGACTCTAATTGAAATCTATTAATTTTTCTGAATTAATAAAATGATTCCTTATATTTCTATTTCTATAATTCAGGACAAGCTGGGAATAACCAGGAAGCTGGAAAAGGATACAAAAATTACTGGAAATATCTAAGGTAATTTTTACTCACAAGAAAAAGGGTATTTCAGGGGCTGGGGATTTAGCTCAGCGGCAAAGTGCCTGCCTGGCAAGCGCAAGGTCGTGAGTTCGGTTCCTGGTACCGGAGAAAAACCAAAAAACAAAAAAAAAAAAAGAAAAAGGGTATTTCTAAAGAGTCAATGTGTGAGCAGAAACATGACAACCGATGAAATGAGACAAAGTATAATTTAATGTCAAAAATATTCTCCATGTATGTATACAGCTTGAGTATGTATAATGTGACAATTGAATTATGAAAATGTATAAAAATATATTTAGGTATTGAATATAATGTATATGGGAAGAACAAACTTTGAGTTTTGACAGGAACCCATCTTTAGGACATCGATTTTTGTATAATGTGAATATAACACATTCAGTATTTAAAAATTGCTAATCTTGAAATAGTATTCAGAGCACAAATATATGCTAATATTTCAATATGTGTTTACAGACCATTCTCTGTAAAATTTAGTCCATTCTGCTTTAACATTCTTAGAAGGCTGCTGAACAGTTAAGTATAATCACTATGACAGTCAGTGCACAGATCTCTTAAGTTGATCCAGGCATACTTCTTCTGGATATTCTCAAAAGAGTCAAAATCATCACAGACATATGCGTACCCATACTCAAAGCAGGTCATTTTATAACCAGTATGCCCTTGAATCAGGTTGGGTATCTTATCACTGCATGCATGATAAGGAAAGTTGTTGATAGCCTCAGTGTGACTGTGTGTTCTTGTAAACCTTGCAGTCTGGAAACAGAATTTGCAGAATGACAAGCTGAAGCTCAGCCTGAAAATCATCATTGATTTTCACCTTAATCATCATTGCCAGTCTCTCAAAACAAGACATAAAAAAGCTGGAGATTTTGTGCTAAGACCTGTGCTTTATTCCCAGCACTAAAAAAAAAAAAAAGAAATGTACTATATAGTCAGCCAAAAAAGATAAATAATATCATATTATTTGCCAAAATAAATAGGTGTGTCTTCCTCCCATAATGTTAAATGAAATAACTCAGTCACACAATGTGGAATATCACATGGTTTCTCTCTCATATGCGAAACCAAAATATAAATTAGAGAGGAAAAGAAAGGTGAGATGATAGACAAAGGACAGAGTGACATTTTGGAGATGGGAAAGACAAGATAAGGAGAGAAAGGGAAGAGTGTTGGGGGAAAATGTATCAAAGTGATCAATGTGTGATACACATATGTACTCTTTGCTCAAGATGTAGCTAAACATTCTGTATTTCAAAATATACCAACTTTAAAATTCTCAAATGATCCAGGCATGGTGTCATGTGCTTGTAATCTGGGCACGCATGAGGGTAAGGCAGGAAGATTGCTGCAAGTTTGAGGCCACCTTGGGCCGCATAGTGAGTTCAAGACCAACCTGAACTGCACAGTGAGACCCTATCTCAAAAATAAAATGAAATAAAATAAATAAAATGAAATTCCCAAATGAATACCACACTTTTGGAAATGGCTCTTTTGAATATGTCCTACAAGTCACTCAGTTAATTCATTGTGAAAATTTCTTAGGCATCAAAACAAAACTTTTTCTCATAAAACATTACTATGGAGACCATTTTATTGTGATTTATTTTCTTTACAGAAATGAAGAGGTAGGAAAATTCTGTCAATATAAAGCTCGGACTCAATATGAAGAAATACTCCTTTGTACTCCAGATGCTAATGTGGATGTGAAACAAACAGCCACACATAGTGATGTTCAGATCCATGAAACAAATCGCAGTGGAGGGAAACCCTATGTATGTAAGCATTGTGGGAAAGCTTTTACCACACATCGATATTGTCAAATACATGAAAGCCTTCACACTGGAGAAAAACCCTATGTATGCAAGCAATGTGGGAAAGCTTTCAGCAGAAATAGTGATTGTCAACGTCATGCAAAATCTCACACTGGTAAGAAACCCTATGTATGTAAACAATGTGGGAAAGGTTTTACTACACGTGGATATTGTAAAATACATGAAAGATTTCACACTGGGGAGAAACCGTATGTATGCAAGCAATGTGGGAAAGCTTTTACCACATATCGATATTGTCAAATACATGAAAGTCTTCACACTGGAGAGAAACCCTATGCATGTAAGCAGTGTGAGAAAGCTTTCAGCACACGTATGTATTGTCAGATGCATGAAAGAATTCACACTGGGGAGAAGCCCTATGTATGTAAGCAATGTGGGAAAGCTTTCAGCAGAAACACTCATTGTCGAAGTCATGAAAAAACTCACAGTCAAGGAACAACTCACACTGGTAAGAAACCCTATGTATGTAGGCAGTGTAACAAAACTTTCACCACACGCAGAGCTTGTCAAGTACATGAAAGAATTCACACTGGGGAAAAACCCTATGCATGTAAGCATTGTGGGAAAGCTTTTACCACACGTGGATATTGTCAAATACATGAAAGTCTTCACACCGGAGAGAAACCCTATCTATGTAAGAAATGTGGGAAAGCTTTCAGCGCACGTGTATATTGTCAAATGCATGAAAGACTTCACAATGAGGAGAAACACTATGTATGTAAGGAATGTGGGAAAGCTTTCAACACACGCAGATCGTGTCAACTACATGAAAGTATTCACACAGGGGAGAAACCCTATGCATGTAAGCAATGTGGGAAAGTTTTCAGAACAACCAATCATTGTCGAAGTCACGAAAAAACTCACTCCGGGGAGAAACCCTATGTATGTAAACAATGTGGGAAAGGCTTCAGCACACGTGGATATTGTAAAGTACATGAAAGAATTCACACTGGGGAGAAACC